TCCTCCCTCTGATCTGCACAAAGAAGATAGATGCTACATTTCTCTCCTCTTTTCCCAACTACAAGTTAAGTTCATCCAAAAGTGGACATTGGCAGGTGAACAGCATGCAGAGGGAGAAGAATTACAACATTTTTTCTCTTCTTAGCACTGCCTGCATCTTCTGTATGACCTCTAATATTGTTGGAAACCTCTGTTCTGATTTTGGATTCTACCAAGTAACTTGACTTCTGGCCTCTGTACATACTTCCTCACATTGTTCTCCTAATCCTAAGAGTAAAAGCAGATTTCTATGTGGCTAATTTCTGGATTGCTCTCCCACCCCTTGTTTGGCTTTGTGATGCTTCAAGTGGCTTTTAAAAGTAGTTCTCATATTAAGTCTCTTCCACTGAACTACCTATTTTTCACCCTGTTTTCCGTACTTGACTCTGACTGATATGACTTAAGATTGGATTATACTTGTTAATTAATTTAATTTACATCTTGAATTTTAGTTTTGGAGATGGGTGGAATTCAGGGTCCAAAATCTTGGAGAGAAAGATACCATAGAAAGAAAGCCAAATACTCTGCATGAAGTTCTTTCTTAAGGCATTTGGCAATTTCTAAGAGCCTGGGAAACCAAAGAGAATTTAAGAGATTAAAAAACTAAGTATATATTTCAGTAATCTCAAAGAATGACAGTAAGTGATCGAGAGAGAGAGGGAGAGGGAGAGATAGAGAGGAGAATGTTTTAAGGTCTGCCACAGAGGAGGGATCTCAGAAATAGCACCGACATATAGTTTAGACCCCAAAGTGGCTCCCTCTAGGAATAAGAACAAACTGGAAGTAGGCCAGTCCTCACAATGTCTGAAACAAAATCTCAAGATATCTCAATTACTGATTAAATCAAGGTGGTCTTCCCAAGGTGGTCTGTCAGAAGAAAATTAAATTCTGTCTAGAAAAATATAAATCATCCAAAGCCTCTACATTTTTAAAAATACAAAAAACAAACTAAGCATGACAGAAAAAAAGATCATGTGCCCAAAAATCAAAAGAAAAAAGAGAAAAGCAACAGAGCCATAATGTAATACAACTCCAGTTATATTACTATAACTCCAGAATTTTAAGTTATCAGTCAGGAACTTATTTTAAAAACCCTACAATTTGTGTGTTCAAGAAAAAAGATGGAAAATTTTACTGCACAATTGTAATCTGAGAAAAGAGTTTAGTGGAAATTGTATAACTGAAATAATTTTAATATTAATATATGGATTCAACAGCAGTTTCTTGCAACATAACCAATTAGTACTAAACCAAAATATGGGTCAGTGGAAAATAGGCAGGTGAAAACACAGAGAGAAAAATAGAAAGGAAAAAAATTAAGGCATGACTAAAGGTCTAAATATGTATATTTGAAATCTCAGAAGGAGAAGAGAGAAAGAACAGGGCAGAAAAGATGCTTATAGAGTTACAGGCTAAGAATTTCATAAAATCTAATAAAAACCCTCAAGACCAAATTCAAGAAGCTTTGCAAATCATAACAGAATAAATAGAAAGAAATCTATACTAAGTACATTATAGTAAAACTACAGTAACCCAAAAGTAAAAATCTTAAAAGTAACCTGAAAAAAAAAAAAAGAGAGCTTATTAGCTTCAAAGGAGCAACAGTAAGATTGACACGACACTACAAGGTAAAACAATATCAACTTTTGAAATGAAATATCTGTTAACTTAGAGTTCTATATTTCAAAAATAATGGTAAAATGCTTTTAAGAAAAACAAAAAGAAAATGTATTATCAATAGTATCACACTAAAATAAAGAATTAAAATATGAAGGGAAAGATGTCATACTGATTAAAGACTTTATTCAAGTAAAAATTATTAAAGACATAAATTTCTTTGTCCCTAATAAAATTTATGACATAGAAATAAATATGTGATATGTAATTTGCTGTATAAAATGATATGAGTAAAAGGATATTGACAAATATAATTCATAGTTGAAGATTTTAGCATTTCTCTCACTGTAATTGATGAGAAGATAACTAAATCAGTAGAGCTATAGACTTTCATAAAATAATAAATAAATGCCATCTTATGTATACATGTATGTGTGTGTGTATACACACACACATATATATCACTACACCCCAAACCTCCAGAATATATTATCTTTTACCATGCATGTACAATATTTACCAAAATAGAGCATATGGTGGGCCTTAATAACACTTCCACAAATTTCAAAAATCAGAAATCTTACAGAGTATATACTTTGACCATAGTGGAATCAATCTAGAAATAAAATCCCCCAATTATTGAATATTAAGAAAACATATTCACATAAATCATGGGACAAAGAATAAATTGTAATGAAAATTAGAAAATATTTTGATTCACATTGGCTGGGCACAGTGGCTCATGCTTATAATCTTAGCAATTTGGGATGCCAACATAGGAGGATCACTTGAGGCCAAGAGTTCAACAGCAGACTGGGCAACATGGTAAGACCCTGTCTCTATAAAAGATAAATAAAAATATTTGGGTATGCTGGTGCACACCTGTAGAACTAGCTACTCAGGAGGCTGAGGCAGGAGGATTGCCTGATTCCAGGAGTTTGAGTCTGCAGTGAGCCAGTGAGATATGATTGCACCACTGCACTCCAGCCTGGGTGACAGAGTGAGATGCTCTCTCAAATAAAAAAAAGAAAGAAAAAAAAAACCCGAACCAAAAAAAAAATAAAAAAAAACAAAATAAAAACGGAAAAACAACAAAACAAAAAAGAAAAACTAAAACCTAAAATGAAAAGGTAAAAAAAAAAAAAAGCCTAAAAAAAAAAAAAAAAAAAAAAAGGAACAAAAAAAAGCCGAAAAAAAAAAAAAAAAAAAAAAAAAAAAAAAAAAAAAAAAAAAAAAAAAAAAATTTTTTCCCCTTAAAAAACCAAAAATTTTTCCCCTTAAAAAACCAAAAAATAATTCCTTGAAAAAAATAAAAAAAATGAATAAAAAAATGAATAAAAAAAACAAATATATAATTGATTATATAAATCTTTTCAAATTTCTTTGAAAAGATTATATAAATTGATAAAACCATAGCAAAATGGAACACGAGGAATAAGGAGAGAAGGATCATATTACCAATATCAGTAATTAAAATAATAGCATAACTGTAGATCTACAGATTTTAAAATGTTAATAAGAAATACAATGTAGTAACATCGGCAAAATGGAAGGATAGAAGTCTCCAGTTCTCATGCCCTCATAGAAACACCAATTTTGGCAACCACCCATTGATGAAAACTGCTCTGTGGGATATGAAGTCTAGCTAAGGTTTCAGTACGCTGGCAGAGCAAAAAAATCCATGAGTGAATGCATTAAAGAGGGTAAGAAGACTAGATTCCCTTTATTCATGATTATGTCTTCCAAGCTAATACAGCTTGGTGCAGAGAGAAGTCCCCTCCTTGTGCAATTTCTCCCATAGGATAAAGTAAAAGCAAACTAAATACCAAGCTTTCCAAGCCTTCTAAGAAACATCCCAGGAGCCCAACTTCTTTTTTACTCCACCCAAAACACTGAGGGGTTGACACATGAATTGTATAGGGCAAGTAGAAGCAGAGAAGAGAGGAGAAGGGTGTGCACAGCACCTGGTGCACCATTCCCAACAACCTGTCATGAATCCTGCTAACCAGCTTTAAGCCCATTGTTGAGATCTACTGCTCAGAAAGAAAGATTCCTTGCAAAGTATTACTGTTCATTAACCATCCACCTAGATACCCAAGAGCACTGATGAAGATGTACAAGGAGATTTATGTTGTTTCCATGCCTGCTAGCACAACATCCATTATGCAGCCCATGGAACAAAGAGTACTTTTGACTTTCCAGTCTTATTATTTAAGAAATACATTTTGTTAGGCTATAGCTGCCTTACATAGTAATTCTTCTGATGATCTAAGCAAAGTAAATTGAAAATTCTGGAAAAGATTCACCATATTAGATGCCATTAAGAACATTTGTGGGCTGGCAAGCTGGCTCACGCCTGTAATCCCAGAAGTTTGGGAGGCTGAGATGGAAGATTTTCTTGAGGCCAGAAGTTTAAGACCAGACTAGGCAACATAGCAAGACCTTGTCTTTACAAAAAAATTAAAATTCAGCTGCATATGATGGTGCATGCCTGTAGTCTTAGCTACTCTGGAGACTGAGATGGGAGGATCTATCAAGCCCAGGAGTTCACGGTTACAGTGAACTATGGTTGCACCACTGCAATACACCTTGAGTGACAGAGTGCGACCCTGTCTCTAAAAAATAAATAAAATTTGTGATTCATAGGAAAAAATCAAAATATAATCATTAACAGGATAACAGATGTTTGTAAGAAATTGATTCCATCTTCATGGATGACCCTGAGGGGTTCAAGACTTAGGTGGAAGAAGTAACTGCAGATGTGGTGGAAATAGAAATAAAACTGGAATTAGAAATTGAACCTGAAAATAGGATTGAATAGCTGCAATTCAATGATAGAATTTGGATGGATGAGGAGTTTCCTCTTATGGATGAGCAAAGAAAGTGGTTTCTTGAGATGGAGTCTGCCCCTGATAAAGATGCTATGAACATTGCTAAAATAACAACAAAGGATTTAGACATTACATAAATTTAGTTGATAAAGCCATAGCAGAGTTTGAGAGGATTGAGTCCAATTGTAAAAGGAGCTGTACTGCGGGTAGAATTCATTATAGTTTTATTTTATGAAGTTGCCACAGCTACCCCAATGTCCAGCAACCACCACCCTGATCATTCAGTAACCATAAACATCTAAGCAAAACCCTTCACTGGCAAAAAGATTATGATTCACTTAAGGGTCAAATGATTGCTAGCGTTTTTTAGCAACAAAAATCTTTTAAAATTAAGGTATATACATTTTTCAGACATAATGCTATACTTAATAAAGTACAATTTAGTGTTAATAATTTTTATTTGCACTGTAAACAAAAGTGTGTGAGTGTGATTCACTTTATTACAATACTCACTTTATTGCAGTGGTCTCAAACTGAACTAACAGTATCTCTGGGGTGTGCATGGATAGAAAACCCTAAAGAGTCAACCAAAAAAAGTGTTAGAACTAATAAACAGATTCTTTAATGTTTCAGAATATAAAATTAACATTAAAAATCAGTTTTTCTTTCTATACGATAACAATGAAATATCCAAAAAAGAAAATAAGAAAACAATCCCATTTACAATAACATAAAAAATAATTATTTGGAAAAAATTTATCAAAGAGTATAAAGATATGTACATTGAAAACTGTAAGATATTGTTGAAAGAAATTAAAACAGACACAAATAAATCGAAAGGCCTTTTTCATTCATGAGTTAGATAAATTAATATTGTTAAAAAGTCCATACTACTGAAAAATATTCACAAGCCTCAATGCAATCCTTATCAAAATTCTAATTGTATGTTTCTTAGAAATAGAAAAAAAATCGTAAAATTCTTATGAAATGACAAAAGAACCTAAACAGCCAAGCAATCTTGAGTGAGAAGAACAAAACTGGAGAACATCACATTTCCTTATTTCAAATTGTATTATGAAGTTACAGTAATTAAAATAGTAAGGTACTGACAGACACATTGTTCAATGAAACAGAATAGAGATCCCAGATCTCTATTTATATATTGTATCTATTTATAATATAGCAAATTAATTTGCAATAAATTTGCCAAGAATACACAACAGGGAAAGGATAGTATCTTCAATAAAAAGTATTAAAATAAAGGAATATCTACATCAAAAAGAATGAAATTGAACCCATATATCATACACAAAAATTAACTCAAAATAAGTTAAGGACTTACACATAAGACCTGAAAGGATAAAATCATAGTAGAAAACATAACAGGAAGGCCTCCTGACATTGATATTCACAATGATACTTTGGATACATCACCAAAACAATGGACAATATAATAAAAAAATAAACAAATGTGATTGCATCAAACTAAAAATCTTCTCACCAAAGGAAACAGTAAACAAAATAAAAAGGCAACCTACATTTGGATAAAACATTTTCAAAGCACATATCTGATAGGGGGTTAATATCTTAAATATACAAGGGATTCCATACAACTGAATATCAAAAATACAAAAGCAAAAACCAAAACCAAATAAGCCAATTAAAAATGATCAAAGGAACTGAATAAACATTTCTCCAGAAAAGACATACAAATGACCAACAGGTATATGAAAAGATACTGAATATCACTAATCATCAGGGAAATGCAAATCAAAGCCACAATGGAGATATCACTTCATACCTGCTAGAATGGCTATTATTAGCAATAGCAACAATAAAAAATAACAAGTGTTAGCAAAATTTGGGGAAAAGAGAACCCTTGTACACTGTTGGTGGCAATGTAAACTAATGCAACCACTATGGAATACAGTATGGAGATTCCAAAAATATTAAAAATATTAATAGAACTACCAACAGTCCCATTTCTGAGTATATATCCAAAGGATTTAAAATCAGAATCTTAAAGAGATATCTGCATTTCCAAGTTAATTGCAGCATTATTCACAATAGTTAAGATATGGAAGCAACCTAAATGTCTAGTGATAAATGAATGGATAAAGGAAATGTGGTATATCCATACAAAGGCATATTACTCAGACTTAAAAAAAAAATACTGCCATTTGCAACAATATAGATGGCCCTTGAAAACATTACACTAAATGAAATAAGCCAAACACAGCAAGTCATGCATTCCATGATCTCACTTATATGTGGAATATATAATTATCAAAATCATAATAACAGAGTAGAATAGTGGTTGCTAGGGTATGGAGGGAAGAGGTTATGGGTAAGCAATGGATCAAGCATACAAAGTTTCAATTATGCAATATAAAGAAGTTATAGAGATATATTATACTATATATAGCATAGCACTACATATTCAGTTAATTTGTAGTTAAGTGGCTGCCATAACTCTATAACAATTCATTACACTGCAAGCTTAAGATTGGTGTACCTTAATGCTCTATATTATTTAATATATTTCAATAAAATTATTTATTAAAAATGCTGAGAAAACCTAGGTGACCTTGGGTCTGCCAATGAAGTTTTAAATATAACACCAAAAGCATTATCCTTGAAAGAAACAATATTGATAAGTTGGACTTTATATTAAAATTCAAAACTTCTGCTCTGTGAAAATCCTTGTTAAGAGAATGAAAAGACACACCACAGACTGGAAGAAAATATTTGCAAAATAAATGCTATAAAAAAACTTATGACCCAAATATATAAAGAGCTTTTAAGCTCATTAATAGAAAAACAAACAACCCAATTTTTAAAATGGGAAAAGATCTGGGACAATCAAAAAAATACACGGATGCAAATTGACACATGAAAAATACTCTCATATGCTGCATTGAGGAATTTCAAACTGAACAATGAAGTGCCTCTATAAGACACTATTAAAATGAATAAAATTAAACAAACCTGAAACCTGCCATACAAATGCTGAGGAGCGCTGACAAAGAAACTCTTTCAGTGTTCTGGGAATGAAATGGCACAAGCCACGTTTTGGTAGCTTTTTATAAAACTATCGTCTTGCTATATAACCAGCAATCATACTCCTAGATATTTACCCAATCGAGTGAAAACTTATGTCCATCAAAAAACGCTGTATACAAAATACTTTATAGCAGCTTGATTCATGATCACCAAAAACTAGAAGACAATTAAAACTGTTCTTAATAGATGAACGGATGACAGATTGAAGTGTATCTATACAATGGAATACTATAGTAATAAAAACTAACGAGCTATTAAGCCATCACAAAACATGGGTGAATGTTAAATTCTATTACCGAGTGAAAGAAAAAGGTTTAAAAGGCATAGCTGTCACATTTTTATGAATATTATAGCAAAAGGAAAATTCCTAGAGATAATAAATACAATCAGTGGTCTGTCTACTGTTTTAGGGGAACCGAAGTGCAGGGAATGTAAGATTGTGAGACTATTCCTGTATGATGTCATAATGGTGGATGTGTGACACTACGCATTTGTCAAAACCTACAGAACTTTACAGCACAAGAATGAACTTTTTAAAGTATTCACACTTACAAAATTAAAGAGTTCAACAGAATCTCAGATGGTAGACCAAGAATCTAACTGTCATACACACAGATAAACAACCTCGGCACAAGGAATGGGGGAAAGTTCCTGACCTAAGTAATTTTGGAAATAAGTGGAGCCTGGAAGACTAAAGGTGAAAGAAACTATAGATGAGCATTGTACCCTAGTTGATAAAGGTTTATTATTTTTTGCAGTGGCACAGCTTAACAAATATGAAATTGCTCTGTATGTATACTGGAATAGAACAATTAAGAAGGTGGATGGCAGATGGTAAGAATCAGGTTTCTCACTGTTGGAGTAGAAAGTTACAGATATGTAGGGGAGAAGTCTGCAATGGATTAGAGTTGGAGATATCAGTATGAATTAATGTTTAGCCTAATATAGATACATATGGTTCAATATAGAAATGCATATTTTCCACATATATACATGTGTTAGTATACGCACATACGCATTTTACCCTCCGAATCCATGGGTTCTGCATCTAGGGATTCAAGCAACTATGGATCTGAAATACTTAAGATAAGAAAAATTTCACAAGTTTCTAAAACACAAAACTTGAATTTTCTATGTGCAGAGTACAAAGTTGAATCCATGCAAATAAAGTGATGTGTAGGCATTGCATTAGGTATTATTAATATAAGGATATCTATTATTAATTATATATTAATATAAGGATATGGAGATGATTTAAAATATATAGGAGGATGTGTGCAGGTTATATGCAAATACTATGCCATTTTATATAAGAGACTTGAGTATCCATGGATTTTGTTACCTGCAGGGTGTTGTGGAACCAGTCCCCCATGGACACCAAGGGATGACTGTATTTCCTTGATCTGTCAGCTGAGAGGGCCAAGAAGAAAAGATACCCCATAACAAGAATCACCTAGTGCTTAGATCTTGTTTTTAATATTATTGTCCAATGAAAAGAATCAGAGATCCTTACAGAAATGGCTGACTCTAGGACTGGGACAGGAAACACACAAGATGAATCTGTAGTATCTTGTGGTGCCAGAAAATAAGAGTGCTAAAAACAAACAAACAAAACATCCCACAATAATGGATATAGGTCTAACAGACACAGGAGCCAACTAAAAGAGCTCCCAATGACCAATGCTGCATGTAATTGGGACAACAATATAAAGTAGTATTGGATTTTAAACCAATGCAAAATAAAAACGTCTGTGAGTCCATAATGATATAAGTAAATTATTTATTCAATATATAATCATGTACCAGATAATGATGTTTTGGTCAACAATGGACCACATATAAGACAATGGTTCCAAAGATTATAGTCAAGTTACCTATACAAGTATACAACTTTTTCTCTTTTATACCACAGTTTTTAAAATTTATCATAAAATATCCAATTTATTCCTCAATTAACTTACAGTAACTAAATTATTTGTAACTTTTGCTGTTAACAAATGACTCTCTAATGATCACACTTGTATGTGTTGATTTGGGCCGATGAGTGACAATTTCTCTGCGGTCTTTGCTCAGATGTGAGTAGTTGGGTCATTATCGTTCAGTATTATCAACTTCCAGTTTCCTATCCAGCAAATTTGTACAAATTCTTAACTCCAGTTGATTTATTCAACCATACCACAAGTATTGAGAGTCATCACATATTTTAAACATTGCTAATCTAAAGTATGTGAAATGATCCCTCAAGATTATTTTGTTTTGGATTTTCCTAATCATTTATAAGAGGCCTCTGAAAACTCTCATCAACTCGCACACTCACACACACGGACAGTCATCCGCATTTCCATGACTCTCACTCTACTCACTCGCTCGCGCAATCCTATACACTTACTCA